TCATCATGATCAGCATCATCATCATCATCAGCATCATCATACTCAGCATCATCATCATGATCATCATCATCATCCTCATCATCAGCACCATCATCATCATCATCTTCATCATCATTATCAGCAGCATCATCATCATCAGCAGCAGCATCATCCTCATCATCATCATCAGCATCATCATCATCAGTATCATCATCATCATCAGCATCACTATCATCAGCAGCATCAGTTGCAGCATCATCACCATAATCAAAGGCATCGGCATCATCAGCATCATCATCAGCATCATCAGCATCATCATCATCATCATCATCAGCAGCATCATGGGCAGCAGTATCATCATCAGCATTATCCTCATCATCAGCATCACCATCATCAACATCATCATCATTAGCGGCAGCATCATCAACATCATCAGCAGCAGCATCATCAACATCATCATCAGCATCCTGATCAGCAGCATCATCATCCTCATCATCAGCATCATCAGCATCAGCATCATCATCATCATCATCATCATCAGCATCATCAGCAGCAACATCATCATCAGCATCAGCAGCATCATCATCAGCATCATCATCAGCAGCATCAGCATCATCATCATCATCATCAGCATCATCATCATCATCAGCAGCATCATCATCAGCATCATCCTCACCATCATCATCAGCAGCAGCATCATCATCATCAGCAGCAGCATCATCATCAGCATCATCATCATCAGCATCATCATCATCATCAGCATCATCAGCATCATCATCATCATCATCAGCATCATCATCCTAAGCAGCAGCAGCATCAGCAGCATCATCATCATGATCCTCGTCATCAGCAGCAGCATCAATATCATCCTCATCATCAGCATCCTCATCATCAGCATCATCATCCTCATCATCAGCAGCATCATCATCAGCAGCATCATCATCATCAGCATCCGCATCATCAGCATCATCATCCTCATCATCAGCATCATCATCATCAGCATCATCATCATCAGCATCATCATCCTCATCATCAGCAGCAGCATCATCTTCATCATCATCATCAGCAGCAGCACCACCATCATCATCCTCATCATCAGCATCCTCATCATCAGCATCATCATCATCAGCATCCTCATCATCAGCATTATCATCGTCATTATCATCAGCAGCAGCAGCATCATCATCATCATCGGCATCATCATCATCAGCATCAGCATCCTCATCATCAGCATCCTCATCATCAGCAGCAGTATCATCATCAGCATCATCATCATCTGCATCCTCATCATCAGCATCATCATCCTCATCATCAGCATCATCATCAGCATCATCCTCATCATCAGCATCCTCATCATCAGCATCATCATCATCAGCATCATCATCAGCATCATCATCAGCAGCAGCACCATCATCATCAGCAGCAGCATCATCATCAGAATCCTCATCATCAGCATCATCATCAGCATCATCATCAGCATTATCATCAGCAGCATCATCATCATCAGCAGCAGCATCAGCAGCAGCATCATCATCATGACCCTCCTCATCAGCAGCAGCATCAGCATCATCATCCTCATCATCAGCATCCTCATCATCAGCATCATTATCCTCATCATCAGCATCATCATCAACAGCATCATCATCATCAGCATCATCAGCAGCAAAAATCATCATCAGCATCATAATCCGCATCATCATCAGCATCATCAGCATCATCATCATCATCATCATCAGCATCATCATCATCATCAGCAGCAGCATCATCATCAGCAGCAGCATCATCATCATCCTCATCATCAGCATCCTCATCATCAGCATCATCATCAGCAGCATCATCGTCATTATCATCAGCAGCATCATCATAAGCAGCATCATCATCATCAGCATCAGCATCCTCATCATCAGCATCCTCATCCTCATCATCAGCATCATCATCATCATCAGCAGCAGCAGCATCATCAGCCTCGCTTCTGCAGGCGCTCCGGCGGGAGCACGCCCGCCGCGGAATCGATGCCCTCGCAAGCGCAGCTCAGGTCTGTTCAGGCGCGCCCGCTGGAGTCTGTCCAGGCGCGGCTCCAGCCCACAAGGGAGGAGTGGGCGGGGGAGAGATGTGAGAAAGGGGAGGGGCGGGAAGGGGAAGGGGGGGGGGAAAGGGGGAGGGGAAGGGAGAGGGAAAGGGGGAGAGAAAGGGGGAGCAGGGGGAGGGGGTGGAAGAAGAGAAGCGGGAGGAGGGAGGGGGTGCAGGAGGAGGAGCAAGAGGGGGAAAACGGACTGACGGGCGGCACATCTAGCACCTTGGCGGTGCGCGTAGGAAAGGAGTAGGAGGGCGGAAGGACGAGAAGGAGGAGGAGGAGGAGGGAAGGGGAAAAGGAGAGAAAGAGAACGCAGAGTAGCAGAGAAAGGGGGGAGGGAGGCGGGAATAGCGGATAAGAGAACAAATTAAATGAGTCGAACTGAGTGGCATGGAGCAAAACGGAACGGAGAACGGAACGGAACGAAATGAAATAGAATGGCATGGTTGTCGTGAGGATGATGACGATGGTGGTGAGGATGACGACGACGACGGTGAAGATTATGATGATGATGATGCCGTTGACAATGAAGTGAAGATGGTGGTGATGAGATTGATGATAGTGACAGAGATGTTGATGCTGATGATGATGATGCTGGTTGTGATGATGATGATGATGATGACGATGGTGATGGTGATGGTGATGGTCATGATGATGCGGCTAAGGTTGATGATGATGGTTATGATGATGCTGGTTGTGATGATGGTGGTGATGACAACGATGACGATGACGGTGATGGTGACGATGAAATTGCTGATAATCATGATGATGACAATGATGATGATGGTGGTGATGAAGATGACGGTGGTGGTGATGGTGGAGGTTGTGGTGGTGGTGATGGTGATGATAGTGGTGATGGTGCTGGTGGTGGTAATGACGATGTTGACGATGTTGACGATGATGATGATCATGATAAAAAACACGATGATGATGATGATAGTGCTCATGATGATGATGATGATGGTGATCGTGATGGTGATGGTGATGGCGATGGCGATGGTAATGGTAATGGTAATGGTAATGGTAATGGTAATGGTAATGGTAATGGTAATAATGGTAATGGTAATGGTAATGGTAATGGTAATGGTAATGGTAATGGTAATGGTAATGGTAAAATGGTGATGGTGATGGTGATGGTGGTGATGGTGATGGTGATGGTGATGGTGATGGTGATGGTGATGGTGATGGTGATGGTGATGGTGATGGTGATGGTGATGGTGATGGTGATGGTGATGGTGATGGTGATGGTGATGGTGATGGTGATGGTGATGGTGATGGTGATGGTGACGGTGATGGTGATGGTGATGGTGATGGTGATGGTGATGGTGATGGTGATGGTGATGGTGATGGCGATGGTGATGGTGATGGTGATGGTGATGGTGATGCCCTGCGCTTTGGGTCGGTTAGTCTAGGCTCGCTGGGCCTGCTCAACCACAAGAGAAGGAAACACGACGGGGCGCCCCCCTCGATTGGACTCCGAGAGCGGAGTCCGCAACATCTAGAACCGAGACGGAGGCGGCGACCTCTTGCCTCGGGCACGGGACGAGGCACTATCTAAATAGTTGCCAGGCAGGATCGGACGAGAGGCTAACCTAACTCGAAACCATATCCGAAAGGGTCATAGTCGGCCTCATCTTCGAGCTCGACCTCGACCCCCATGGCCTCCTCCCAGTCGGGAGGAGGAGGGGGGGGGGGGAGGAGGAGGCGGGAGAGGGTCGGGAACAAGAGGAGCGAAACGAGCGAGTTGGGACTCCGAGAACCCCGCAGACCGATGGGGAAGGGGTCTCGTCACAGCACGCTTCTCTAAGATTCGTACAATCGATCGATGCATTAAGGTGGTCAAAGTGAAACGGCCCCTGGCTTTCTGAATAACCGAGGTCGGGAGGGGGTGCAACTTGGCGGCATTAGCGGCAAGCACATCAACATTGTTATTCAACTCCTCAGCGAGCGGGTGCACCGCGCCGCGGCCCACACCGTCCTCACCCTGGCGCGGGTACACATGCTCGATGTGGAACATGTCGGGCTTGGCGTCGATCGCGGACTTGATCTGGGCACAGATATCGTTCCAACTTCCTCCGGGTGGATCTCCTCCTTGAAGTGCATTTTGAAATTCTCGAACACATTGTTGGTTGTCGCAGTAGATCCAGACGGGCTCTTCCGCAACTCGTGCAACATGCAGCAGGGCACGTGCTTCAGCTCGGGCACTACTTTGTCGTGGTCCGCATAGCTTCGAAGCACAGTTTAGGCGGTGGCGCGGCGCCACGTAAACCGCGCATCCAGCACGAGCTAGCCACTGGTGCTGAGGATAACGGCAGGCGCCATCCGTAGCTAAGGCCAACCACCGCCTGTTCTCGTCGTCCGTGATGTAGTTGACCATGTCCTCGGCAGGGTCATCGCCCACTGGCTGTGGAGGCCGATGTTGCGGAGGCTCAGGTGTGGCAACGAGTTCGTTGTAAAGGTTGACCGTCTCCTCATCGATGCACGCGAGACCACAGTGTCGCGTTGAAGGCGGCCACTGATCACGTTCTTGAGCCTGTGGATGCTCCTCTCGCCAGCATGGGCACTCCCACAGGATGTGTTATTGCGTTTCCTGTTCTTTGTCACAGAACCTGCACACCGCTGGCGAGTCTTCTGAGATAGGTGTTCTTTGCAATCTCTGTTGTGTGTGATCGCCGCCAGCAAGAAATACAGACAGTAACCCACGCTGCCACTTAGTAAGACGGTGCCTTAGACTGCGTGTACGTAGGAGCCAAGAATTGGAGACCATGTCGACGCTGTGCTTATGCTTGGCCACGTCTCCGAGGTCGTTCCGCGTAGTAGGCACCTTACGTAGGAACCACCGTCGCTGGGAGTCTCGAAGGTGATGCATGAGAAAGTCACTGTGCCCTTCGAGCCATGAGATGGGGGCGCCCAGGTCGGTCATCAGGATATCGAGAATGGCCAGCGCCAGTTGAGCTGGTTGAGCATATTGACGAACGTTCGCACTGGACCAGGGTAGGCTGCGTCTGCGTCTTGGATGTGATCACGAAGGTCGCGCACATAGTCGCGCAGCTGTGGTACCCGCAAAGCCCGACGGCGTAACGCGGGGGTGACTTCCCTCTGGCTGATCGCGATGGGGTCGAGGAGATGGCCCTTCAGCACGACGCTCAGCAGAGTCCACTGGCATGTCCACTGCCGTCCCTTCGGCATGATGGTCGCAAACATGGCGCGGTAGTATTCCCGCAGCTGTCGGTTGGAGGGCGTGCCGAGGTCAGAGCCCACAGCAACCATGGATGCCGCCATCGTCTGCGCAATGTCGGCACGCTTGTGTAGAGGTAGAGGAAGCCGTTGGGCCCGTTGAAGTCGTTGAACTGCAGCAACAAAGTGGCGCTCCATGAGGCTGGTGTCATCGCCTCCGCGGGTGATGATCTGGCTGCCCACCAGGCGGAAGGCGCGCTTGACGGGCAGGCCGTGGCCACAGACCGTAGTGTTGGCGAGCTCAGCGACCGAGTTCTCGTCGGTAGTCCACGCGACCAACTTCCCAAGGTGAAGTTCTTGTCCAGAGAGTTTATCAAAAAGAAGTGATTCGCGGAGCGATTCACGGATCCCAGCCATGTCCCACACTGTTGAATTAGAGTCGTCAATATACGTAATGGACAGGGATCTCGGTACAACCCTGTGTTGTCCCGCCGTCCAAACATACATAAGCATCTTAATATCATCGATACTGAATGCGGATCCTTGTAAGTGGCCATTCGTCGTGGCGATGGTTTCGCTGTATGCTCCAAACATTCGCAGGTATCTCCGATGCTGGGCATAAAACTGCTCGCGAACTCGTAGTACACTCTCAGGGCACCCTGCATGTCGTTGTAGTTCGATGCATATACTGGCGATCAGCAGGTCGAAGCACTTCTTCCTGTCGAGGACAAGCCCATGGACCAGTTCTCGGCGTGTCGAGACCACTCGACCTGCAGGGCGAGACTGGTGGAGACATCCGAGAGACGGGCCCCCGAGGTAGCCCCAAAACTCGCGGGGTGACTCCACTTGCGCCTCCAAGGTTCGAGCTTTCGGTAAATCGGGACTTCCCAAGAGTAAAGCCACACAGACAGAACGGAAAGGAGCCTTTGCTCCTCAGGAAAAATCCCCTCTCACTTCCTCAAGGCGGGATCCGGAACATGTTTGAAAGCCGAGGGGACCTGACCCGAATTTTGCATCGATCGAAGAGCTTCGGCGAAGACGGCTTGGATGGCTGTGGGCAGAGCTTTGGCCTCCACCGTCGCCCATCCGTTAAGACCTCCCGCCTTGCGAGAGGAGCGTGCCTGGAGAAAAGCGCCGACATCAGCATCACTAAGTAAAGGCTCAGAGCAGGGGCTCACTGGGGGGAGTTCAGCTTCGCATTCGGCGCGGAAATCCTCCCACGTAGGAACCTCTGAAGTCCCGCGATACTTGCAAAGGATCGGCTCCCAAGTTCGCTGCATCAACTTGATAATGTCGAGCGGGTTGGAGATAATGTCATGAGTGCCGGGTTTTTTGGGAAAGGCAGTGGGTTGCTGCGTCTGCGCTTTTACCCAAGCACACACCTCTCGCCCTCCACTTTGACAAGATGCTGAAATCCGTGTTCGCCATTGTTGCAGTCGTTGGCGTTGGGCTTCTGCGGCGTACCGTTGTTGTTCAGCCAGTACCTGAGCAGCAGCGTGGCGGGCCTGGGCTGCCGAGGGCCAGCAGAAGGGCGCCCACCATCCAGGCCATGATGCGCACACTGGTTGTAGAAGTCGAACTTGCTTGCAGCAGTTGGCCCAGAGTTGGTGGTAGAGCTGGATGTCCATGTAGGATGTGTACCCACGAGCTTCACAGCGTTCAGCACGGTAGCTTAGTTCAAATAGTCGCCGATGGAGCTTGGTATATTGCCACTCTGTGCGAGACATAGCGCCATGCTGTGGAGATATGGGTGGGGCGCCCACCCTTGCACGAAACGCGGTGGCTTGCCACGCCCTCTCGTGCCCTTTTTGACATGACTATCACAACATATATCCAAGAAATCCTCCGCAATTGTGTCAGCAAGAGCGAAAGTATCCTCTGGATTGCCTTGTGCCACCACCAGCTGTTCAGCATGTCGGTCCACCAAATGGGCGCCCAGTGCTTCCCGTTCGTCGTGTGGCGTACTGATGTAAGATACATTGTAAAGCTTCGGGCGTTCCCACCGTCGGACGCGCGCAGCAAAGGCGTCCACGTTGAGAGTGACTTCGAGGGCGAGATGACCAGGGCATTTGAATTCACGCACAATCTGAAAATCGATGACCATAGCGGTGGCACTATCGTTCGCAAAGATATAGTCGATCCTGGAGGTGTGTTCGATGGGGTCGTAGCGGTTCCAGTTGGGGTCGCGGCCGTAGGTCATGGCGTCCTGGTCAGGATATCCGTTCGAGACGTTGTTCCAGCCACCTTCCTGTGAAACCCAACTGAGAAAAGCCGACTCGGTGACGTCGCACTGGGCACCCATGGTAATAAAGTAGGGAGCTGCCGTACCTCGAACAGCAGCAGCTTGCCAAACGTCCGCGAACAGCTCCTCGTTAGATTACGTGGCGACTCCGTAGACGGTGGCGAGGTAATAACCAGTGGTGAGCTTCCCTTTCTGATTGGGGATGGGGGCGAAAACCTCCTTCCAGCGCTTTGTCGCCAAAAGCCGTTCTTGGACAGGATGTTGGCACTCCGTAGGCACCGCGGGCTCAGATGTCGGAGTGACGATGGCAACGCCCCCGTGTTCAGCGTTAAATCCCTTGGTCACGTACTGATGCCTGCCGTTCTGAGCAGGAACCACACGCGTGCCTGGCGAGAGAGGCGGGCCCCAATGGGCTTTCCACCCGTGCCGATGAAGATGCTTATCAATGTCCGAGAGTTGATGAGGTGTGTGGCGCACTTCTTGTAGCGCTGCAACGGCGACGTCTCGGTCGCCGAGGGCAGTGAGCAATTCCCAGCGCGCTTGCAGCGACGTCACATTGAGCGAGACGAAGTCGTGATAACCAGGCCCGTCACCCAGGGTTGAATCAGAATACGCACGCGTGCGATGACTGCAGCTATGACACTGAGGCAACGTCGCCAGGACCCACATGACAACAAACCCGAAATGTCGCTTAAGACGATGCGTTCGCATGCGGAGGTTGAATCGAGGCAAGGCCCCCCGATTGTTCGTCTCGGCCGTGTCGTCACCGCGGCAGTCTCCCAGACTAGCTGTAGACATGGTCGAAACTGTGGCATGATGTACCTTCATGCAGCCATCCCACTCGCTGCAGCACCCCAAAGTTTGAGCGTGTAGACCACTGCCCAGTGAATGTAATTGGTGTCCCCGTTCACGTACTTCCCAACGAAAGGCGGGACTGACCTTCCTTGGGCACCTTCAGATTTCGTCATCGTCCTTGCTGCCCTTGCCATCGGTACAGGTACGTGGCGTGGTGCGCGGCGTCTTCTTGTTGGGGGCATCGGCGCGCTCCTCCTGAAAGTTCATCTTCTTGAGGATGGCGGCCAAGCTTCCCTGGAGCTGCGCCTGGTTCATCTGGATGGCGTTGTTGAGTGCCACGCTCGCCTGCTTTATCTCGGTGACAGCAGCGTCCGTCTTGTGAGCAACGTCGTTGAGCCTGGCGCCGAGCGAGGCGGTGGCATTGGCCTGCTTGTCGAGCTGCTCCTGCATAGCGGCCATGGTAGTAGCTTGGGCCCGTACACTAGCTTCGAGAGCCAGAATTCGCTCGTGCTCAGCATCAGGGAGGCGGACAGGGACCGGGGTAGGTGGTGTTTCACGAGGCTCAACCTGCATCCTCGCGTCGGCTTCACCTTGCGGCGCAGGTTGCTCCGGTGGTTTCCCCTGAAGTGCGGCAAGCCAGGGAGGCGCGGCAGCCTCAGGTGCAGCAGGTACTTTACCAGTCGGTTGATCCGGCGGTGGCTGTGCGTTGAGGGAAGCGGCGAGGACAACCGTAGGAGCTGCCGCTGAGGTACTGGTGGGGCTGCGATTCCCGCTGGTGACCTCGGTGACAAACCAGGGCGTGGTAGTGCCGAACTTCCAGTACTTGTTTGTCGGCTCGGTGTCGGAGCGCGCGATGGCGAAGTTAGTCTTCTCGTTGATGTAGAAGCCCACGTAGACAATGTCGGCAGTCCACCCGACTGTTTGAGCAGCGTCCGCAACTTGTCCCTTAGTAGATTTTTCATTTGGAATGTTGTCGATGCGCCATTTGCGTCGGGCCAGCGCCGCGGCTGAGCCTCGCACAGCAGTAGCCGCCTCGCCTGCCTTAGGATGTTCACGTTGTACTCGTAGTCCGAACTGTCCACGATCACCCTTCGTAACACCCAGTGCAGCCTCGTGGGACTTGGAGATGCCATAGGCCTCCTGCATGGAGATAGTCTTGTTGAACCAGACGGTGTGGACCTTCTTCTCGTCGATCTCCTGTTTCTCCGCGTCGACGCCGATGTAAGAGAAGGTAAAGGCGATGCCCTGGTAACCTGAGTACTTGAGGAGGGCGTCCTCCTGGTTCTTGGGGATGGCGATCACGGCTCCCAGGATACGTTGGCCTGCCTGGCCTCCTGCTCGTAGTAGGCGGCTGGGCTCGTCGAGGAGTGGGATCTCGGGGCAGATGGCCTGCATGGTGGACTTGATGACGTCGCGCAGCCCATTGTCCATGGAGATCTTCGCGTCAGACTTTCGAGCCGTCTTCCAGCGCTTGTTGGCTGTGCTGCCCATCTTGTCCTTGCGCTGTCCACCGACAACGACGGGGGCGGCGCCGCTGAACTGGCTGCTGAAAACCTCATTCATGGCGGGGTTGACGAGCAGCGTGTCGGCCTCATGGATGGTGATGCGCATGAAGGTCGCATTTCCATCCGCTTCGCCGAGCTGCGCAACATTTGTCTTCATAGTGACATCAGTCTCGCCGAACTGGTAGATGACGCCGTTCATGAAGGTCTTCCTCGGGTTTGCCGTGCCGTGCGGGACCCTGAGTACTGGGATCTGGATCTTCGCATGGGCCCAGTTGTCGCTGCCCGTGCCGATGGCCAAGATGGCGAGCGGCTCCTTCTGCCGCCGTAACGCCATGCACCACTTCTCGGCATCCTCCATACTCATACGTACCGTCGGGCAGCTTCTTGGGGGCCTGCGCAATGGGGATGGACCAGTCGTGCTCGTCCAGGGCGATGGGCTGCGGCTCGGCGGCCGCGGCGCCCTTGCCCTTACCCTTCGTGGTGTTCGTGGTGTTCGTGGAGCCGTCGGCCACCGCAGCGGCAGCCGAGGTGCGCCGCTGGTGCTCGTGGGTCCACGAGATCTGAATATTCGTCGAGAGCTTCTGGATGGCTCTCAACTGCTTGTCCTCTGGGGTCTGGTCCAGCACCTGGTCAAGACCCGCCTGGTCCTTATGTACCAGCTCGTTGTAGGCCGCGGTAGCACGATCGCCACCGCCCTGCTGAATGATTCCGACAACCTTCGTTTTGCGAGCTGCGGGGCCGCTGATCTTCGTCGCCTTCTTCGCCATCTCAAAGAATATGGATGGCCGCAAGCGGAGCGAGCAAGAGAAACAACCGATCTTCTGCAGTGATGCTCACTGTCGGTGCCGCCAGGAATACGAAAATCGGACTCGGAGGGCAGATCGGAGGGGCTGCGCGCACTCGCTCCCCAGCGAGTTCGAGCCCGAGTGGCACTGATGGTGATGGTGATGGTGATGGTGATGGTGATGGTGATGGTGATGGTGATGGTGATGGTGATGGTGATGGTGATGGTGATGGTGATGGTGATGGTGATGGTGATGGTGATGGTGATGGTGATGGTGATGGTGATGGTGATGGTGATGGTGATGGTGATGGTGATGGTGATGGTGATGGTGATGGTGATGGCGATGATGGCAATAAGTATGATGATGGTGGTGATGATGATTGTGATGGTGATGATACTGATGTGGTGGTGGTGGTGACAGGTGTGATGATGATGATGGTGAGGATAATGATGACGATGCTGATGATGGTGATGACGAGTATGATGAGTTTGATGAAAATGATGATGATAATGATGATGGTGAGGATAATGATGATGAGAAGGATAATGATGATGATGGTGATGATGATGAGGATGAGGATGAGGATGAGGAGGATGGTGATGATGATGATCAGACAGACGAGGAGGGGAATAATAAGGGGGCACGACGAGTACTTCAGAATAGGCTGGCCTTGTTCCAGAGGGGGTGCGATGTGGCAAACAAATGTTCCGCCACCTTGCGTTGCAGAGTAGCGAACGGAATCAGAGTAGTATTAGTTCAACTGCTGGCGCGGCCGCGTGACGATTAGGAGTAATATGGGCTCCGCTCACTTTCCGTTGCAATGTAGCGAAGAGAATATAGAATGGTGTCTCATCCCCCAGAAGTTGCCGCGTGACGAGAAGAGTTGGACAGTATCTCTGTCGCTGGCCAGGCGTTGCGACGCAATGAGTAAAGTAAGATAGTATGCTTCCACCGCCCCAGGCGTTACCACCTGACGAATAGAGTAGGATGTGATTGACGCCCCACTGCGCTACCACGTAACGGCGACAAATAAGTTCGCCCTTCCCCCAGGCGTTGCAATGAGACGAGCAGAGTGGAATTGCATTGCGTTCCGCTCCGCTGCGTCCCCCCCTTGGCGAGTAAAGTAGAATTTCGTGTTGACGCCCAGCTGCGTTGCAGGCGGTGAGCAGAATAAAATTGTCGTGTGGTCGCCCCTCAGGCGTGGACACGTGATGCACACAAGGGGATTATGTAACGAGTTGCCGCGTGGCGAACACACTAGAACTAGATGTGCTCCGCCTCGCTGCATGGCCACGTGGCACATAGAACCGAATTGCATGTGTTCGTTCACGTCGGGCGTTGCCACGTGACGAGTAGAGTAGAATGGTGTTGCCGTTCCGTCCCCAAGCGGTGCCTTGTGACGGATAAAGTAGAAAGGAAGCTGTTGACGCCCCGCTGCGATGCCACGCAGCGAACACAATATACTAGTGCGTTGTTTAGCCCAGTCTTTGGGTGCCGCGTGGCGAATAGAGTGGAATGGTACTTGAATGTCCGCCACCGCTGCCCTGCCGTTTGGAAAGCAGGGGTGTATTTCTTTAGACCCGCTAAGTGTGAGTAGAGTCCGCCTCCCAGTCTTCGCGCCTCCCAGTCTTCGCGCCTCCCAGTCTTCGCGCCTCCCAGTCTACGTAAGCGTATGCGTTCGCCTCCCAAGTCTTCCTACGTGGTGAGTAGAGTTCCGCCTTGCTGCGTTGCCACGTGGCGGGTACAATAGAACATGATGTTTCGCCACCCCAGGCCTTACCACATAACGAGTAACTAAAGAGGAGTACTGTTTCCCACTGCCAAACCCCAGGCGTTACCTGGTAACGGACTATTGCGAAACAGAGAGATTTCCGCCCCATTCGCTGCCATGCGACGAGTATATTGAAATGCGTGGGCTAACCAATCAACCACCAACCCAACCAACGAATCAACCAGCTCATTGGGCATAAAGGAAATCGGACAATCAGAGAAATAGCTAACCAACCGCCCAACAAAGCAGCCAACCAGCAAACCAACCTACCAACAAACCACTGAATTACCCCAGATAAAGCCTTAAACCCGAGCGTAATGAAATGGAATGGAATAAACTGGACTGGACTGGCATGGGAAATGAAAAGGAACGGAATGGAAGGAACGGGAATGAGTAGAACGGCACAGGAAGGAGAAGTGCAATGGAACGGAGTGGAATGGCGAGGAACGGAAGACAGGGGTGGAATGGAACGGACTGGAGTGAGCATGCAATAGAATGGAAGGTAAGAATGGTCTGGGAGCCAACCAACCCAAACAAACCAGACGATCAACCAACCAGCGAACCAACCAACCAACCGATCAATCAACTAACCGACCACTTACGTGACCAGTTAACCAACCAGCCAGCCAACCAGGCAGCCAACAACCCAACCCACCGCCCAATGCCCCCCCGGAAAACAGACGGAGAAGGGAAAGGAGAAGGGGAACGCGAACGGGAACGAGCAGGAAGAGAAAAACAAGGATGCGGATCAGATCGAACACGTCGTAAAGAGAGACCAGGCTAATAGCCCCCAGGAAAACAAACGGGGAAAGGAAGGGGGGAGGGGGACGAGAACGGGAACAAGAACGGGAACGAGCAGCAGGAAGGAACAAAAAAAACAGTTTGTCGGGGCGCGGGCCGCTTTCCACTTGGCCCGGAAGCGGTCCCCAGAGGCCGAGGTTGCGATAGAGGGCCTCTCGTACTCGTTTCGCGACGCGGGAGAGGAGGAGGAGGAGGAGGAGGAGGAGGAAAGGAGGAGGAAGAGAGGAACAAGGATGAGGATCAGATCGGACACGTCGGACAGAGAGACCAGGCTGAAGAGGAGGAGGAGGAGGAGGAGGAGGAGGAGGAGAGGAGGAGGAGAAAAGGAGGAGGAGGAGGAGGAAAGGAGGAGGAAGAGAGGAACAAGGATGAGGATCAGATCGGACACGTCGGACAGAGAGACCAGGCTGAGGCATGGCCACGCCCTCGGGGGCCGAAGGGCGCCAACCCACGTCGAAGCGTGGAGGAGCACTTTGCAATCGAAATACTGTCATAAGCAAGGGCTCCTAAGTTCGCGCTTCGCGCTGCGCGAAGCGCGAAGCGCGAATAACTTCGCGCTCTCGCGCCGCCCCCCAAGGGGGAGAAGAGGAGGACGAGGAGGAGGGGGAGGAGGAAGGAGGACGGCGAAGCGCGAAGCGCGAATAACTTCGCGCCCTCCTGGGAGCCCTTGCATAAGGAACCCCCATAATAAAGAACTAGGTTTTTTCCACATAACTTTGAATTTAAAGTTCCCAGAGAAAACCACATGAGAGCCTGAAACAAACGGCGGCACAACTGAGGAACACGGGGCCCCTCCCCAACGAAAAGAGTTCCTCCTTCAGCGGCCCGACTGCAGTGCAGTCCAAGTGCTTACACAGTGCCACCTCTAAGGCGGCTGCACCACATCGTGTCGCCCCAATTCCGAGCCCCATCGGCGCACGGGGCGGGGCTCGCAGCTCAACGGTAAAGCAAAATGCCCCGAGCACCCGCTTACCTGCGCCCCTCAGCTGTCGTTATCAATTGGGGCCTCTGCCCCTTGTTGGCTTATTGCTGCTTGTATGTCCTTCTGGGGCTGGCACTGCTGCGAACGCAGCCTACAGGCAAGCCCGCACGGCGAGCTCGGTCGGGAGTGTTCTCTTTTCGATGGCCGCCTGCATGGTCGAGAGGCCCGTGCACACGTTGCCCTTCGGGCTGGTTCTCAAAAACCGTCAGGCGGGGGCCTGTCTGCCCGCCTCCAGGGAGAGCTCGGTCGAGAGCTTCCCCCCCCTCGAGCTCCCCGCCGCATGCCATTCGGGGTCGCAAAAAAAAACGGCCCCCAGCCTCTCGCTCAATTTTGGAACCCCACATGGCCCTCTGGGCATCGCAAGGGGTGCTCTGGAGGCCGCAGGGGCCTCCTGGGGGCCTCCTGGGGGCCTCCTTGGGCCCTGTGCACTTCTGGCGACATTCGAACTCCCCGCCGCGTGCCGGGGACCCGCCTGCACCGCCATCCTGCCTCTCTGGCCTCTGTGCATGCCGCTTGCCGCTGGTGCCGCGCCCCCCGCCCAGCTCCGGTGCGCCCCGCTCGCCGTCCTGCCCGCCCTCCATCCGGGGCCGCCGCGTGGTCGCTTCCCGCCTCGCGGCCCTGCGTGCTGCGAGTGCGCGCGCGGCCCTTCTCTCCCCCGCCCCGTCAGCCCAGCGTGCCCAGCCCCACCCTGCCCAAAGCTGGGGCAGGCTAGACACTGCCTAGCGTCGGGGCTCGCCCTCGGGCTCGCCCGCGGTGCCATGGGGCCTCGCATCCTGCCGTGCTGCCCTCGCCCGCGGCCCGCTTTCCGCTCGCGCCCTCGCCCCGCGCGGCCGCGCCCGCTGCGGCGCCCTCGTGGCCTCGGAGGAGGCGCGCCGGGTCCTCGACAGGAGCAGCAGTGGGAGCTCAGGGGAGCTCCAGAGGCGGTGCGGGGCGGCGGGAGAGGGAGGCGGAAGGCGGGAGGCGGGAGGCGGAAGGAGGTAGGCGGGAGGAGGAAGAGGAGGAGGAGGAGGATGAAGAGGAAGAGGAGGAAGAGGAGGAGGAAGAGGAGGAGGAGGACAGGGAGGCGAAGGAGACTGGAGCAACGAGCAGAAAAGGCGGGGGCGGAGACAGAAGCAGAGGCAGAAGCGGGAGCTGCAAAAGGATGACCAGGCGGGGGCGGCGGTTCAGCGCTTTGGGGGGGATGACATTGAGCCTCCTTCCCCTCCTCACACCTTCCTCATTCGTTCGCCCCCATCCTCCATCCCTGCCCGCAGTACATCCTCCCTACCTCGAGAAGACCGAGGGGTAGCGGAGCTTGTCTGAGCCCGCGTCAGAGCAGAGCTTCCCTGGCTTCGGCCACCCCGACTTTCGGAGGTAGCCAGCACAACGGACAGTCGTGATTCCCTCACCGTGTCCTCCCCCTGCTTCTCTTCGTATTCGCATCCTCCT